GACTACAGAGGGGACTCCCTAAACGGGTCAGACAGTGCGATCGCCGCTACTTCCGCGAGCCCTGACGGCCGGGATGGCGTAGACCTTGCAGCGGATATGGGTGACGCCGGCCAGTTCTGGAATGATCCGGATGATGACGACAGCGGTCCCGCGTCGATTAACTTCAAGGAAGAGGATGAATTCGGGATGGATCTCTCACACGATTAGTGATCTTTGGGCGTTTCATACCCCTTGCATCATCATAGCATTTTCTGGTGTTAGCCAAGCCTTTGATTGCTCATTCGATTTTTACTCGTTTGGTCATTGAGCATCATCGCCGTCGTCATCACATTTGAGTTCGAGTCTTGAGGCATTTTTTCCCCATCGTTCCAGGCATTTTAAGTCAGGGAAAGGATTCACTACTGCATATGGCGGCCGTTTTGGGTGGAATGGACCGGCGTTCTATCTTACATACCCCACGGGACGGTGGGAAACCGGCTCGGAGCAGCCGGGGGTGGTCTATCATTTTCACGGGTTTTGTGTCCGGGACATCCGGAACAATGGAAGGCTCTTTCGCTTGTTTCTTACACACCTTTCCCATGTCGTTTCACATAATCTTGTCTCGTTTTTCTATGTCCCTTGGGCATCATTCATCTGCGGGCTGGGTCTGATTTTTCTTCCAATGATACCTCGAGGGCTGCGGAGTTGGGGGAGGGAGGAACCATGTTTCCGAGATTGCGTTCCTTTTTTTTTCTTTTTTCTCGCATTTGCATCGTCACATTGCTGATCGGGGAGTTCAATTTATTTTTTCATCTTTAGGTTCCCACATGTAAGCCGCTGCAACCCGCTCAGAGGCGTGGTCTCGGCATCGTTTAACTTTGTGTATTCGTCGACCCCCGAAATGGGAACCCGATCTGGAGAGAGAGACATTCGGAAGGCTGAAAGATCATATATACGCCGCTAACATATCCCGGGCTATCCTAATATTCCAATACGTTTACTTGCACGATGACATCCATGTATTTGCTTTCATGTGAACTTTTCAACTTGTATTGGTGAATCGACATGTTATTTAGAATGCTATCCAAGCCGGTAGCTACATGTCTTATCCCTGACAATTATGTAGGTAGGACCCGAGGTGGTAACCCGGTTTTCATTTTCTTCGGCCTGCCGTACGACGTCCCCGCCCCCTTTCGTCCGGGCTATTACGTAAAGTTCCTACCGACACAATATACGCTATCTACATGTATTACGCTACCTATATGTACCTAGGTAGGCAGGCAGGTAGGTTAGGTACTTAGAAGATAGTTACGTACATAGGTAGGTAAGACTACCAATGTCTCACGCACAGCAGGTACTCGCTCATAGAATTAAGCAAGTTCCACGCGTCGCGGCGCTTCAAGTCCTCGTGCAGGGCGACGCGCTCCAGGGCGTAGCGGCCGTTGAAATATTTCCAGAAATCGGGCCACTTGGCGCGAGGGTTTAGACTTGACGACCCTGCTCCTATCCCTGCCCCTGCCCCTATCTTCTCTTTGCCTTTGTGGCCACTGCTGGTAGTAGTAGTAGTAGTGGTAGAATGTGTGATCCTCTCCGGCAATCTCCGGGCAATGGCAAGTAAGTACCGGGAATCCCGGTCGCCGACACGGCCGGCGTCGGCGATGATATACGGGGTTAGATGCGCGAGGTACGGGGCGTCGTTGGTAGACGGGTGGTCGGTCTGCTGGGGCGGGGGACGGCGGGCGTGAGCAGCGGCTTTTTCGGCGGCGGCGAGGTGTGCGCGCGTGGCTAGGCGGTCGAGGCGGGCTTGCTCGGCGGCTTGTTCGCCGGCTGTAGTCATCATTGGGGATCTGATTGTTGCGGTGGAGGATGTCATTGATATGGTGCCTGGTAGTGGCGATGATACCGCCGTCGGGCTGATGTTGCCGACGTGGTCGTCGGCGGATGTTGAGAGAGGGGGGGAAGGGGAGTGTGCGTCGTCAGATGAGTTAGGGGGTGAAGAAGATGCGTGGGAGGAGGACTCGGCGGAAGTGTCGGCTGCGATGGAGGCGCGGGCTTCTTGGAGAAGTTGCTCGGCTTCGATCTCGTAGTCGACTTCGTATAGGATCTCGGGCCAGACGACGACGTACGCGAATGTGCACAGCTGGGTGACCCAGCCGCCGCGCATGAGCCAGGCCAGCATGGATAGGTAGGTTGGGCGATGATTCTTGCTAGGCGCAAATAGCTTGTAGGAGCGCGGCGCGGCCGATAGAGCTGCGAGGAACTCGGGGAGAGGGGGTGCGAGGGGGAATGCGCGCGCCCACGTTTGACTGGCTCTTGGTAGCCGGCTCATGTCGCTGTTTGGCGATAGGATATAAATGTCCCGCGCGTGTAAGGGTGGGATTGCGATCGCCCGTCGCCAGAAGATGAAGTGTTGTGCGTATTTGCGCACTTGAGCTGGAGAGAGTGCTGTACCTTGACCGATCTGGTAGAATCTGTTTAACATAAGTGTGAATAGGTCTGTCCGTATAAAACTGAGGCTTGAAATATATGTATAAAAAACAGCATCAGTCATGTCCACTTACGACATTGTCGGCTTTGAGAGCCGGACGAACTCGATCATTGCCGCCGTCGTCTCATCCGGGTCGGCCTGGAGCTCCGCAATGATTTTTTTCTCATCGCTCATGAGAAGCAGCGCAAAGTTCTTGTCGAGGAAGGCGGGATCGTTAAGACTATCTTCCTCGACGAAGGTGTTTGCAGTGGTGATCCACAAGCCTTTAGAGCCGCCCTCGTCGTCGGGTGGAAGATCAGGGAGGTAGAACGGCACGGGGATCTGAACCGAATGTGTCACGGCACCTTCGGCCGTATCTAGCTGTAAGGCAGCGATCCTGTTGTGGGAGACGGCCTCATATACGTCCTGCATAGATGCTGCTAGGGAGGACACCTCTAAGATTTCTCTCCATAATGTGCTCATCTTAGTCCCTACGTATACTTTGTCAGTTTACCGATTCGCATATACGATGGGGAGTATCTTGAGCACGTACTTGATTCTCGCCCCTTATCCTTTAAAGCTAGGATCCGCTTCGATTCTTTCCAGACAAAATCACTCTTCTGCTGGCTGTACTTGTAGGCCTTGTTAACCTTCTTGATGATGTGAATATAGAGATTCTCCGCCAACTCCTTCGCCTCGTGCTTTTTGGGGTTCAGAATGAAGACGAGATTAAACATAGTCATCCCGCTCTTCTTTTCGTCAGCCTCGTCCGGTGGGTTACTAGTAGTGGCTTCCTCAGCCATGTCCCTGGTTTCTATTTGTGGCACGTCACTTGCAAGAGTAGAGGACTCGCCATATTTACTTGCCGACTCTGTATTTTCAGGCGACTTGGGCGGTTGATACTTTGGCTGCTTCTTCTTCTTCCGCCATATCCCATTTTCCGGAACGTATATGGGATACGATGCGAAGCAAAGCTGCTCCAGAGAGACGTGAAAGAGTTTCTTGTGAAAAGCCCGGTTAGGGGTGAGAAGACTCTCGAGATCCTTTGTAGGATAACCGGCTACGTGCTCCCAAGGCACTATCTGGGAACCGCTATCGGTCTCTAGATGGTCGTCATGGTTCCAGTTCTGTAAATCGAATGACTTGGGTAGCGAGCCAGAAGGCGCCTCAAAGGAGGGATGAGACATCTGATTTAACAGTTCATCATCGTCGTCCAGCTCGTCCCTGGGGGCACTATCGCTAGAGGGCGAAGCGTACGGCCCCTGGATCTGAGGCGGATAGTGGAAGACAAACAACGGCCCATCGCGTAAGCGGTTGACAACTAAGGCCACGCCCAAGAAGTTGGAAGTGTTTGGTAGTATAGGGGACGCCATGTTCTCAAAGTCTGGTGTTACGGATGGCGACACAAGTCTTAGATGCAATCGTTATTTTCCCCAAGCCCGAGGGTATGTAACGCATGTACGCTGCGGTCTCCCGAAGACCATCTCAGCTGGTCCGTGGCGTCGCCTGTGCAAACTTCATTTGACTACTTCGTAGAATCGGATTTAAATGATACCTGTTCCACATTAAGAAATGAGTATCTACTTTCTCACATAGAAGGTTATCAGTAGCCACATCCATCAGGTTGTAGCAAATACCAATAGGAGAAAAGTACTCTTGAAATTATTCATGTAAGTATATGTACGGAATAGATACACTTTAAGATGTAAGGTGAGTTCGATGCTATTCGGTATGTACCGACCCCACTTAATTAGAGTAGCTACATACATGTACCTATTATCGATAGCCACCCGGGCATGTAATTAATTAACTATCTCGTTAGTAAAGGACTTTACTTCTAGAATCACATTCTACAACACTTAACGATCCTATTTAGGTATTGTTATATTAAATAATTTATCTAGCAAAACCTACTTTTAGAACGTATTTACGTCTAGTATTACATATCCATTCTATTTGTTCCATTGCGATTATACGACGAATTTCAAGCTCTATAGCCACCAGTTTATACTTGACATATCACTTAACGGTAATGCTATACCAGCGGTCTAGTCTTAGCATAGTTCCTTAAGCTTCAATAGAGACTTATTTTTGCTGTTGCGTCTTGCTCGCATCCTCCTCGTAGGTAATCTTTTTAGTATCTCTTTGGCCTTTACCCCAGCGACGGATGAGACCCGTAGACACTCGTCTTCTTAGCAGAGCAGGCGGTTCCACGCTGCTCAACCGCAGAAATGACCGGAAGCGGCTCTGGTTCAATTCATCGGACTGCAACTCGTCGGGTTTAGTGGTCGACGAGTTCGACAATACCGGCGTTAAGGACGGCGCCGCAACCTCTAGCGCGGGGAAGAGAGAGTAGGACGAGGGCAGCGGCCGTATAGGCTTCGGCGCCACAACGATCACCTCGCTCGAGTACAGGGGGGCTTGGTCTTTAGGTTGGTTGGCCGGCATCATGTTGGCTGGGTTGGCTTGGTGATATTGTTAAAAGATTTTTTTTACAAACGTTAGGTACTTAACGAGTTATTAATAGAAAAACTCGTAGCTGCAATGAGTGAGTAGAATATATTAGATTCAGGACAAGTTCTTATAAATGTATAACGACGATTGTTCTATAAAGGTTTGAAGGAGTAAACTATCGGCTATGTTCTTTCACAATCCTTGTTGTCTAGTTTAATTAAGTTATTAAGAAAGGCATTGTTTGATATAAAGCAAGCTTCGGGCTGAGTTACTCTTGTTGCATTATGATGAAAGAGATGTTCATCGGGTTCATTAATAGACTCCTAGCCTAGGAAATACTCACAACACGCATTGTGCTCTTCACAAGTAATCCATAGCAGAAACTTAAGCAGATGAAGCTTGGCACGGTGCAAGTTGAGAATTCGTTTCAATAACTCACTATGCAAATGAGATCCCATCCCCATCCCGACCCCCCAATGTCCAAGGAAAATGTTCCTTCATCCGTTCCGTTTCTATGTGCAAAGCCCCCAGTTCCCATATTATAGGCACATATCTAGATACGCCAGCCAAATATACACATTTAGAAAAGGGCCATAACAATTCGTGACGTCATTCGATCAGTATTTGGATCCCCGGGATCCGGAGCACATCGGCAGGCCAGTTAAAGATTTAAATCATCTCGCTATGATAGTCGTTCGACAAGCGCTCATATATAACCTCCAATGAGACTCAATCCAATGCCGGCGACGATGGCAACTACAGAAACAGCGGTAGGTCGTGCGGCGGCATTTCCGGTGCCGATGATGAAACCCCCGGTCGTGCCGGCTTGCGTGCATTGGGCACTATTCAAGTTGTAACAAGCCTCAGATGATAGGCTTGAGCAAACAGATGTTGCCGACGGCGCCGGAAGTCCGGTAGCTTGCGTGGCAGCAATTGTCGTCCCACCGCCTCCCGGGACCACGATGGTCACGCCATAAGCTGCGCTACTTCCACCTAAACCCGAAACACATGATGCGTAATTCCTCGAGCACTGGTCGAGAGCTGATGTACATGCCACTGAATTCGCAAACGACGTCGGTATATATGGAAACGAGAAGTACGTATTGCTCACGTAGGACACAGAGGGCGTTGGGCCGGTTGGCGCTACTCCTGTACACGTTGCTCTACAATTCAATCAGGCATGTAAGCTTCGAACAACAAATCATATCATAGAATATGGATACTCTCCATAGGATTACTTACGTAGTAGGGCAACATGCCGCTGAACTATAGGCATCTAAGGCACACAGCTGTCCATTTTGACAACAGGTTCCTTCGAAGACGGGACCCCGATCCTCGCAACTGAAAAAATTATCGGGGCAATCGATCGCTCTCTTATGGACGGGGGAGAAGTCTTCGAAGGTCCCGTACTCGAGCGGATTGACGATGGAATCAGCGAGCGCAAGTGTGGTCGCAGTTATCGAAAGGAGCGCGACATGTCGGCAGGACGTCAACCGCATCTTCTATCAAGGATTTCCGCGAGCATCAAGTTGGACGATAACTTCCGCACCAGGCGGTCGCGCGGGCTTATAAGAGCGAGGATTTCGATACGAGGAACAATTGGATAGAGCAGGTATTGAGTATCTGGATTGGGTATGTGGTATTCCAATTCACAGCTGACGACTCTGCAGACACGAGGTGGGGAGAGCCGGTGGGTTGGCAGCGCGCTACTGGTCTTCACCGATTTTTACGTATGCGAGCTTTAGGTATGAATGTATACCTAGGTGCGTAGCTGTGTAAGTGTGTAAGTGGTTAAGGTGACTTATAAGTCGAGGTGAGATGGTATATTTGAAGCGGAAAGATACAAGACTCCTTTGAAATTATAAATTATTATGATTCAAATAGGAGAAAGTCGGATATTGATGTAGATAAGAATTATCGGATACAAGTAACTACAACATGTGCAAACAGCAGAGCACCTGTGCTAGCTAGACTGGACATATGGGAACATTGAGGTCATGTCAAAATTGATTCGGCAACGGTTGTTCGCCCAGCAACCATACAAGGTACCTACATACACAGCCCACCTACCCACCTAATAAACCTTGGAAGGACGCCCTGATCTACCCCCCGGAGATCTTTGACCGATGTGGGGGGAGGGGTCATCGTAAAGTCCCATGTAGGTACTTCAGTACGTAGCATAATAGTATGAATAACAATTCCTAACACTGTCACTCTCCAAAATTTCAACACTTACATTCGACATCCGTTATCGAATCATAAGTTGAAATCGAACAACATATCATCACATTAAGATTAGTAAATAGAGAAACCCTCCGACTTCGTCAGTCGTAACTAATATTAATTTCAATCTACGAGCTGAAGAGGGCTAGATAATTCTTCCATGAGTTCCTTCGGCAGCCCAGGCGCCGGTCCATATACTGGGAAGCCTACCCCGTATGTCTCCTAGATATCACCTGTATCCTTAAAAGAGAGCGCATGCTGACTTCGGCTATTCGTTCGTCTATAGACCTCAGCGCGGAAGCTTCCCTTTAGATCATGATGGTTAGCAAATCCTATCCTAGAAGTATTTCTTCGTTTATTAACCGTGCATCCCTAGGCGAATGCAAGGCCGTCATGACCAAGTATCTCTCATGCATCAAGAAGGTCAAAGGCGTCAATGACGAGGAGTGCCGCAACCTCGCTAAAACATATTTATCCTGCCGTATGGACCGGTAAGCTTCCAACCATTCTCTAAGATCATCCAGCCTCTTTCTCACTGTTTAGGAACCTTATGGCGAAGGACGACTTTAAAAACTTGGGCTTTGCCTCGGAGACGGATACACCCTCAAGTTCGGAAGCCCAGGGACGGTAGTACGGCGAATGTTATAGTTGGAACCTACCTACTCACCGGGTTTTACGGGAAGAAGCACCCAAGGCGCCTTTGTTCTAATTACTGGGTATAGATTTTGGCCCCCCTTGTGCTACCGGCCACGGATTTCTTTGCGGGCGGAATGCCTAGTCGGCAGTAGTCTCGCTCTTTACTCATAAGAACTAGAGGTCCTAAAACTAAGGACTCGATTTAGGGTCCTACTGTATCACATACTAGGAGGCGTGCTGAACTTTCAAATGGGAATTAGCGAAATTATAGCCTATATCGTAAATCATTAAGTATATCCGAAAATACCTAACCTCCGGATCGAATGTTCTTATAACCAAACCTACCTAGGTACATGCTCAAATCTACAATGTAAATTACATCGAACTTATACTACTCACATTACTTATATCTTGCGACCCTTATCTCTTTTTGAATACGTTCTAGTTGGCGCACTGTTTTTTAATGCATAGCTTCTGATTCTCTCGTTGTTGTCAGTAATTAAGCATATCCGACTTATTCCCAGGATTGGTTAAAGGTGAAAGGCACCGGCTCCGGTGCCGGGCTAGTTGCTTCCGAATATTGAACATCATATATAAAGACTAAAGACCAGGTTGCCCGGCAATATTTTAGTCACTTATACATGTAATATAATGAGTGGTTTATATGAATTCATCAAGACATTTCAATAACATGCTCCGTAACGTCTCGAGAACTAGGCCCTTGAGGCATTCCTCTCTCACTTCTTCCCTCAACCCCGGTCCGTCAAGACTACTACTACAGAACCACCGCTACTTGAGTTCTAACTCAGGGTACGACTTAACCCTCAAAAATCTCAAAATAGGTAGTCATACAAGGGTTATATTTCAGGGGTTCACAGGTTCATCTCCCTAACTTACTCATCTGCTTACTCCTTAGCCTACCCTCTGCTTACACACGAAGTACAGGGAAACAAGCCACAGCCAACGCTCGTGAATCTTTAGAATGGGGTACCAATATCTTGGGAGGCGTAACCCCCGGCCGGGAGGGCGAGCACCTAGGTCTGCCCGTATTTCCTACGGTTCACAAGGTACCGTCACACATCACTAGTTAGGGATTCTGTTCTACGACAGTGTGACACGGAAGGGAAAGTAATTTGGAACGGGAAGAGAAGTTAACGAACCATATTCCCTCTAGGCCGTGCAAGTCCTCAAGCCGGACGCGACGGGTATCTACGTAGCTGCGCACCAAGCTGCCGGCGCGATCGAGGAGGCGGTCGAAGCCGAAGTGCCGCTCATCGTCGCCGTGGCGGAGCACATTTCGCTTCACGACATCCTTCGAGTGAGTACCCAGGTCATTATAGTCTATAATAACTATGAAATCTAACTAACGACGAAAGCTAGATCCATTCTATATTGAAAACGCAGTCCAAGTGTAGACTAGTCGGCGCAAACTCGCCCGGTATCATATCGGCGGTAGGAAAATGTAGAATCGGTCAGTGGTATTCTGTGCTGGTGTAGTTTTTACGGTATCAGCTTATAGCCATCTTCACTCGTAGGCTTCCAGCCGCTCCCCTGCTTTGAATCTGGCCGGATAGGGATTGTAGCAAGATCAGGAACGTTAAGTTACGAAAGTACGTCCACTATTCATCCCACGGACGTATCCCCGATTCTAATACTCTCCGCTAGCCGCTGCTTCTACACTCAGATCCGGTCTAGGTCAAAGTATGTGCATAGGTGTCGGCGGAGATATTCTCCCAGGCACGAGCCTAAAAGAAGGTCTCCAGATCCTCGTCGAGGATGAGGACACGGAAGGTATTGCGTTAATAGGGGAAATTGGAGGAGAGGCCGAGATCGAGGCGGCGGATTGGATTAGAGAGTACCGAGCTACGACTAAAAACCCAAAGTGAGTTAAGTTCCTACTTTTACTGGAAATATAAAGCTGTGAATGGCATAGTTGACCGGCATAGACCGATCGCCGCTCTTGTCGCCGGCGTGAACGCAGTTCCGGGTCGGATCATGGGCCATGCCGGAGCGTTCGCTCTACCCGGCGAGCCGTCCGCACTAGACAAGATCGAGGCCTTGAAAGTAGCAGGAACAGCTATCGTCAACCATCCTTCTAGATTTGGGCCGGTGCTAAAATCCATGCTGGACGGTGTGGCGCCCACAGGTTCGGATATCGCCTCCCCAACCAATACCTCACAACGGAGGGGAATACACACCATAGCCCGCCGTCCTATTCCGCCCCAGCAGGCCGTGTATCACCCTCCTAGAGGCCGAACACGCAGCATCTATCTCCCCCCAAACACCGCCCTCGACCTCCTCCGCCAACGCGGCATCCCCATCTCCAAAGACCCGTCCGCCGGCCCCCAGAAACTCCTCGCAGTAACCATCGACCGGTCTACCAAAACCCCTTGTATCATCGCCTCCCCAACCAGCGACGCCTCCCAAGCAGCCAAATTCGACTTCACATGCATCTCCACGCCCGCCATATCGCAACACCTCAACCTCGACCCCAAATCCACCACCCCCCTACAAGCCCTCCTCACCACGCTAGCCGCACTCTTCACCTCCAAAGAAGCCTTCCTCCTCGAAACCCATATCACCACAGCCCCCACCGGCACTATCCACGTATCCGCCGCGCATCTCGGCTTCGACGACGCCGCCTTCCGCAGCTGCGGCCGACAAGCCGATATCCACACGTTACCGCGTAACGAGGATCCAGCAGAGGTCGAAGCGGCGAGGCACGGGATCGTGTATATCAAGATAGAGGGACAAGGCAACATCGGCACGCTGGTCAATGGCGCCGGGCTGGCGATGAATACGGTGGATGCGCTGGCGGATGCGGGGGGCCGCGCTGCGAATTTTCTGGATACGGGGGGCAAGGCGACCAGTGAGACGGTGAAGAGGAGTTTTGAGGTGATTTTGACGGATCCAAGGGTCAAGGTTTGTCTCCCCTTTCCCCTTCCCTTCCCCTCTCATCCCTCCCCCTTTCTTCTTCTTCTTCTCTGTCCGGGTGTTATTATCCCCCACACCATTACCTCCTGAGCTGCGTATCAAAAACAAAACATATGGCAGCTAACCCACACCCCGCTCCCGCATTATAGTGCATATTCGTAAATATATTTGGCGGTCTGACCCGTGGTGATATGATCGCTGAGGGCGTGATTCTGGCCTTCCGCGATCTGCAGATGGCGGTGCCCGTGGTAGTGCGCATTCGCGGGACGAACGAGAAGGAGGGTCAGAGGATTATTGCAGAAAGTGGATTGCCGCTGTTTGCTTTTGATGACTTTGACGAGGCGGCGGCGAAGGCTATTGAGTTGGCGAATAAGGGACTTTAGGTAGAGAAGTGGTTACTTATATAGCATGCTTTTAAACTGCCCGTCATAGGTATTGAGTATATCATTAAGTCCGTTTATATGTGTTTCAACGCTGACATATGAGTTCTCTAGTAAGTCTTTTATATATCTTATCTTATTTTTATGAGTGCCCCGTAGTCAACATACACTCCGCTGTAGATGGCCATAACTCTTGGCCCCCATGCTATACTCGTTCTATAGCCCAGAGTCCCTTGAGGATAGATGATCGCCGTCGAGGAGGAGTGGCTCGATCGCTGTTTTGCGACTGGTGCTCTATTGCAGAGGACAGTATGCCTTCGTCACGAATGGCAAGTTCCCGTTGCTCCTTGTCGAGTCGTACCTGTTTCAACTCCCAGACTTTCCAAGCTCTAAGGGCCCAGCCTATATTATTGAGAGTCAGCGAATCAAATGCTAAATGAGAAAATACGAGGCTACTCCCGAAATTCGATTGTTTTAAAGAGGGTCTACCTTGGCGGTGTGACTTACCGAATATAAAGGCGCCAATATAACAAAACGCGGTGAAGAGTTGGACGTGGAGATAACCCCCAGGCCCAGACCGTCTGAGGCTCACACCGATGACTTCAGCGAACGTCGCCGGTAGGACTAGCACGAGCCAAGTCATTGATAACGCTACTTAGAAGTTAGTACATTGTAGTCGGTGGAAGCATGTGTTAATGGGGTTAGGTTGCGTAAACGAGTTGAGCCAACGTAGGGTGATGATGGGGGATACTGGGAATCATTAGCTAACCTGAAGGTATGAGAGCAAGTCCGACAACTTCGGCACATATAGGGGCAACCGTGGCCCACATTACGCCGGCAACACCGCCGGCAAGGAGAGCAAACACTATGCAAGTAGCTAGGCTTTTAGCTGCGAATATCCAAAAGAACATGCAAAGAAGACCGCATAATAGCGTAGACAGATTGGCGATATTTAGACGCCCAACTGAGTCGCTTGATAACCCTATTGCAGGCCGTCCAAGTCCTTGGGACACTGTATCTTTAGTTAGCATTACTAGACCTAAGACACATCCAGGCGGGAAACTCACGGCTAAACAGCGCGCCAACTAAAGAAGCCTGAGAAGCCGTCAAGCCAACAGTCTGGCAGTAGTCAACGATACTGAAAATGAGAATGATGTATCCAAGAATAGAGAGAACCATCCAGGCTTGGAATAAAAGAAATGATGGCCTCTTAAAGAGCTTCCAGTTAAAGGCCATATGGACTGAGCCGACAGCATGATTGCGGTCGCGGATGAGATAGCTTGCAACAGTATTCACCACGAAGCAGACGATGGCTATGATGCGGAAAGCCCAAGGTAAGCCGATATTGGTGATCATAGCATTAGTCGCCAATGAGTAGCATAACCCTCCGAAGCCCGACCCCGAAGCGGCGATCGAGTTAGCGAAGGATCGTCGTTTTACGAACCATTGAGGGGGGACGGCAGCAGAGGCGACGAAGCAGAGGCCCATACCAAGGCCAAAGGATACGCCTTGGCTCAGAATCAGGTGCCATAACTCCGAGGCAAACGATGAGCCGATGAAGCCAATCCTATGAGAGTTTAGTATCCAGATTATCTCCGTGAAAACAGGGCGAACCTACGTCTCAAAGATAGCCCCGAGAAATATAGTTAGTCGTGTCCCGCACCGTTTCCAACCAACCAAAGTGGTTGCTAGCGGAGAAGCCAGGAGAGCTATGCCTCTATCAGTTAAAATCCCGGTAACATGTATAGCTCACGTACCGATCGAGATAGATAGACCGCCTACGAAGGCATACCCAAGTTGGCTTGCACCAAACGAGTCGGATCTAAGGTAATAAGCGAGGAAGACAGCAAAACTCTGGTGGTGATAGGAGATTGTTAGCAAACTGAGAAGACATCATCTTGAACGTTAGGAACACGCTTACAGAGTTGAGACCCCAAGTATGAGCGTTGAGTAAGAATACACCGAAAATAACGGCCCTAGAGAAAATATAGTAATTAGTATTGCAGTACTCCCGTGGGGATGTTCAATAATTTTGAGAAACTAACCAACCATAACCACCCTCCTTGAATTCTTCTTGCGGTTGAGGATCTTGGGCTTCAAGGTTTGTGTTGACTGAGTCATTACTATCCTGGTTATTATCTGGATCCTTGCCGCGTATAGCCATGGTAGTTAGAAATACGGTAGGCTGTGAATTATAAGACAATAGAAAATAAATCTTGATGTTAACATTGAGAATAAGTTGTTTTTATATCTAAGTATATTATTGTATAATTTCAGAACACCGATGGAGGTTCATACCCAGACGTATCATATCTTTCGAAGGGCGTACCTCCATACTCTCTGCATTAGGTAAGAGTTAGTCGGGGGAAAAAAAAATAGTAATAAACCGGTGCCCACCCCGGTCCGACTCCCGAGTTATCCGCCCCACGGGGTTGCGGCACAGTTGGTATCAACCTTTGGGCGTCAACGTCTTCTGTGTTACTATCATCTCCGTGTACGGCGAGATATCTCCGCCTATAGCACTCATAAGAGATAATAAGAAATAAGGTTGTATTGGGCACAATTAGCGATCACAATTATATATCACTAATCGGAGGGAAACTTCACCAGTCTTGATTTTCGCTTATGGTACGGATGCGGCCGATATCGAAAATGAACCGAATTCGGGATTTTGCACTCGTACAAGTAGTCGATTCAAGAAACATTTGTCCCGCGTATTGGATTCGACGGCGCCGGACCGGGAAAACAACCTTAGAAGGACCGTCATTCGTCCACCCATAGATTTGGGTAACATATGTCATAATACTATCTCCTCAAAGGCTGACGCTTGGTAATCTCGATATAGATGCCTAGGTAACTTTCGTCTTCCCATATTCTACGCTAAAACCATAGAACCAACACAAGAACGATATCCTAAAAGAGCCGCAATTAATAGCACGTGGTAAATGACATCTGCATGCAGAAAATATCAACCCGGTACTACGCCCGTAGAGTGGATTATGATTATAATAAGGACTGCGCTGGTAGGCTGGGTTTAACGGAGGAATTGAGATGAACCAGCAAACAACACTGTTAGACGGTGTCGATGAAATAGGATTGGTTCTTTGAGTCATCTTTTCCTGCGCAGTACCTGCCAATATCTTAGATAGGCATGGTGAATGACAAGGGGCGGAATTACATAGTTGTAGTAAGTGCTTAGGGTGGGCCCTGATCGAAGATTCTAGGTAAATTCCAGGCCGTCCCTGCATCTAATGGCAGATAATGGCAGAGGCTAGAGCAAGGGAAAGTCTGGCTGAACTGCCTGAATTAACTTTTAATCCTTGGCAGCTTCCGACCTTTGGGCATCGTCGCCAACTGTCGGAGTGGGGAACCTTGTAAGAACAACGGACTCCAACTGCCAGTTGTCCTACGCTGGAAGCTGCCCCGTCCTTGCCCGTCTCTAGCAAGCCCAGGCGGTATCGACCCTACCTAAGCGGCTGCCCCGGCAACGCTTGGACGGTAGTACCAGCAAAACATTGGACAGCATGAATCGCCAAATTCTCCCATTCCTCGCTTTACCCAGCCCGACCGAATAAAGGAACCTGGGTGGACACCTCATCATGCGTTGTGGTTTTTTCTGTGAAACATATTTCTCAATCCATAAATAAATACTCTCTCTGTCCCTAGCAACATTCGGTAGTTAAGATGTTGTTCTAGTAAACAGAATTACTCATCAATAAACCGTCATAGAAAGCAGCTATTAATCACATATTTAACCTGCAGCCCACCAATCTACCTCATTGTCAACAAACCACCACCTACTTATTCACGATACAAACATTGCAACATTGTTCTAACATACATACCTCTCTACCTGCGCAGCCATGTTGCGAGGCAGGTCGAAAGAGAGGTCCTCTAACAGAAAAGTTACACCGCCTTCGCCAAGTTATATGAACAATGAGCAATTCGGTTCGTAAACATCCGAGTAAACATGTGATATCAGTATAGCACTAACCCGGACACTTTCTATAGCTACATATCTGGCAAATCTCCGAGATAGTCGCGTGAGCCGCCCGGGAGGTGCACGGCCCCTTCCTCCTTCGTCAAAGCCACCGCACCGGGATTCTACAGAACGACTCGCCACCGGCCGCCCATCCCCCGCCGCCCCGTCTATCTTGTCCGAAGCCCCTAGCAATAACCAGAGGCCGCTGTCCGATCTGCCAAGGCCGCGCGGTAGTCGCCCTAGTTTTGCCCCAAGCGTAGCCTCTCGCTATTCTACCATAACCTCTACTGGAAAGGATTATTACCCCGAGAACCCTACTGTTGCGCCTTTGAAACCAGGAGAATTTGTTCCCAGTGCCACATATATCGAGCGCGGGCAGCGATGGATGGAGAAGGAAGAGGCCGTCTCACTTCGCGAGGCAATGGACGCTATGGACGCCATGAATGTGAAGGATGGGGACAAGGATAAGCAAGGAGATGGAGAGCAACAGGACGACGATGAATCTCGACTCTACAATGCGGCTCTCGACGAGGCGGCGGAATTGGTCTGGCAACATCAACACGGAATAAAGCCACCTGAACCAGGTGCTCCCTACCGGTATAAATCCCACTTGCGAAAGGATAGTTACGCTCATGCTCGTGCCGCTAGTGCCGGACGGTATGGTAGTGAGATCAGTCCTACTGGGCTTGCGAGGGACTCTATTCGGTCATTCTCTGGTAGTTCGTCAGGTAGCGACAGGGCGCACTCGCCAGTAAGTGGACGCACAAGTATGGACCAACAACGTACCTATTCCATCGGATCGACCAAGTCAAAATCGAAATCGTATGGCAGTATGGGCAGTGCGACACGTTCGAGTTCGGGTGGCCGACGTCTTAGCAGCTTGAAGCGCAATATAAGCGGGGAGGTTGAGAAACCTTTTTCAGGCGATCAAATATGGGAAGAGCCAGAAACCATTACGCCTGAACGGTCCCCAAAACGGGCTCAACCGCCAGAGAAATCGCCACAGAAATCGCCACAGAAGTCACACCCCCTGGGGCTTAAGTCAAGAGGCATTCCCAACAGGGTTCAATTCGCGCCCGCCTCAGTTGAGGACGATCCGGACGATACTCCATCGTCAGTGCCTGCCAAGCCGGTGTCTAGATTCGAAATCCACAAGAATCCTCCATCACAATCTCGCAACCCGGCCTACACCACAAATACGCCGTTAGAGTCGCCACCGAAGCCTCAGGAACTTCCGACGAAGCATGGTATGGAGATTCGGAGCGATGATATTAGATTGGCAACTAGCATGCGGCTCAAGGACCGCAGCGCGAAGCTCCCTACGCCGTCGGCCGTCAGCGACAGCCCCGGGCGTCCAATCGTAAGCTTTGATAAAAACTGGAAGCCCCCAGAGGATGAGGCGACTGATTCAAAATTAGAAGAGTCCAAGCCCAGCAGCCACCGATCTTTCGGGGTCGTCGGTAAAGAGCGCCCGGGCCAAAATCCGCAGCCGCCTATCCCTACTATATCAGTTTTGCCGGATACTGAAATTCCGAAGCCGTCGTCAGCGTCGCGGCCATCCGGTAACACGCCGGCCATCCCAAGTATCCAGATAGGCGGGGCGGACGATGGTCCGCAGGTGCCGGTGATCTCCGTCTCGGATGACGGCCCGGCTGTCCCAACTATCGTACTACCGGGAGATGACAGTGACTACAATAACAAAGCCCCCAATGTACCAACTATAGTTCCCCCTGACAGTGGTAGAAAGCCTTCCGCTAGACCCTTACCAAACCCCAAAGCACTCAATAACACGCAAGATCGCCGCCGAAGCCATTGGTCTCCGGCACCAGGAGTGACCGGCCGTCGGGCGACAGCGATCTGTCATGAGTGCGGATTCCCCATCGAAGGCCGCTTCGTAGCCTTAGCCGGAGCCTCGGAACGGTTCCACCCGCAATGCTTCCGGTGTTACTGCTGCGGTACAGCTCTCGAAGCGCTCGAAATCAGCCCTGAGCCGGATAATTTCCGGAGCGAGAGGCTCGACCGAATCCGACGCAGAACCGCAGGCGAAATCCTCGACGAGGAACCAGGAAAGACAATGGCGGAAGACGGGGACGCGCGACTGCGCTTCTACTGCCACCTAGACTGGCACGAACTCTTCGCGCCGCGCTGCAAGCACTGTAAGACGCCCATCCTAGGCGAGCACGTGGTAGCACTGGGCGCACACTGGCACTACGGACACTTCTTCTGCGCCGAGTGCGGCGACCCGTTCGACCAGAGCGCGACGCACATCGAGAAGGACGGGTACGCGTGGTGCGTAAGTTGCCAGACGAAGCGGACGGAGCGGCGAGCGCCCAAGTGCCGTGCGTGCCGGCGCGCCGTCATCGGCTCGTACGTGCGCGCCTTGGGAGGCGAGTGGCACGACGAGTGCTTTAGATGCGCGTCGTGCGGCGGCGGCTTCGACGACGGTCAGATCTTCCCCATGCCCGAGCGCGGCGAGGGCGTCGTGCTGTGCACGAGGTGTCGCGCCGCAGAGCTTAAGATGTGACGTGATACGTACGCGAATGAATTACGAACGACGAAACGATACGATAAGATAATTATTAGATATAACCGACGAACGGCATAGTTTGCGATTGTGTTGGTTTTTGCGACGGAGTACTTTGGTAGTTTGTTTTTTTGCCTCCTCTTATCCCTTCCTTCTCCTCCTCCTCCTCCTCTCCTCTCCTCCTAATGACATCTTGGTGTCTTAAGAGTCAAGTTGAGCGTCGAGAGCGGGTTTGCGGAGTGAAAGATGGCTGGTGGGTGGTTGTGATTGCCTTTTCCCGAGTCTGGTTTTTGTGTTGTACGGTTTTGCGTTTTGTGCTTTTGACTTGTGCTTACCTTACAGTAATACTTCATTCATCCAAGGCAAGGCGTATGTGCGTGCGACTCGAGTCTGACATGGTTTAATTTGATTCGGGTTGGTTTAGGGGAATTGCTTTGCTGGTGGTAATTGGCGGCGTTTTTAATATTGGAGTTAAGCAATAGCAGCAATAGCAGTTCGGAAATACAAAAAGGCTTGCTTGGTTTCTCTTTAACTATTACGGTCTTATGTGGTTTTGTGATGTGATATGCCATGAAGTATTTTTTTTGCACCTTGATTTTTCATTTCATCCTCTTCTTAATATCTCTCCTGCTCGATCAATTATCTGAGACTATAGGATCACCTCCCGTTTCGATAATCTTGGGCTTCCAATTGACTTCCTACCGATTGATATAGTCGTGTTGCTCTTGTTCTCGAAAACGTAGAAACCTTCAATTACAAAGTTAAGAGATAGGGTTGGAAATAGTAGATTTGTTTCCTCCATTTGTTATGGCTGCTTAGACTCTAAGCATGTATAGGACAGCAAAAAGCGAGCAGAAAACGACAGATAACTCCGCAAATAGTTGGAGATATAAAGACGAAAATATAGGAAGAACAAACGCAGCTCTAATCTGAGATCAGCCGCCACCTCGATTAATAGAAGACAGTACCTCTGAAAGACTCATAAAGCAAGAATCTACATGATAGATGCTCTCCAACTTAGGGCAGAGCGAGGGGGATACCGAGGACACGCAAAGAACCCTTGGGGGCGAGAGACCTCGTTCATAGTCGTCCCTGTTGCTTCTACTGTCACCTGACTTAAATCGGGGATACGGCGAACCCTTTGAATCCTCCCGTTCCAAATCCATATTCCATCCATATATCATGCCAACGGCGAGATCGATCCGTCAATCATAGTAATGTTGGCAATATCAGCGGTAGCAGACACCTCCCACCTGTTCCTGGTGAACTTCCAAGGTGTCACCGTCGGCCATCTCCAGCTACGGAGAGTGAACAGGATAGTTAGCTTACGTAAGGTATATCTAAGAAGTGATGCGTGAAGAATGAACTCTTGTGATGATAGCGATAGCATGCCAAAAAGTGGCGAGAAAATGATCATAGTAAATTTAGAGAGGGATATCAGGGCCTAATTGGCAACTTACCGAATCGGGTGTATCGCTCTTTTGAACCCGCTGCCCTTCGAACAGAAAGCGCACGGAATCGACGACCTTGCCTTGACGCTCACAAAAGGCCGTCATCAACTTCTCGAGCTTAGTAGAGCGCTTGATTTTGAAGAAAACCTCGTTATTGTTGTCCGTCACCTTGATGTTAAGGTGTTCGCTGCCGGCAGGTGCGTCCTGTCGTTCCGCAGCAGGGCTTCCGCTGTCGTTCTCTCCGGACATCGTGGGCGTAATAGGCGGTGCTTGTGGGGATATCAGAGGACGATCTAAGTCTAGTGTGCCGTCCGTTTAAGAGATATCGACTCTCTGGTCTTTTCATAGTCAGCTAAAGGAAGAGGGAGGGTAGTGTGTTGCTTCTTGGGAAAATGACTAAAAGATTTGTGGTTTTCACGCACACCGAAAAGATGTGAGACTCACGGGCAGTGTAGATACCAGTGTACTAATCGCTCGAGAACGAGATATGGCAGTAGGGAAACTCGAGTGTAGAGGCCTGCTGCGCTCAACGCGATTAGTATGGATTTTTATGAGTGGCGGAGGAAAAGGATTGAAAAAACGCAGTGGCCAAAAGAAGAGAAGATGAAGTTTGAGAAGTATGCGATTGCGGTGGTGAAGTTTGGAATCAACGCGAAGGCTACGTGAGGCGCCCTTCTAGGTGGAAACAAGGACCGTTAACCACGCTAGATGCGGGGCAGTTACTTCAAGCGTAAGTACGCTAGCAAGGAGTACCTTCTGCAGGTCATACTTTCCCTATGGTATATGTCTAGGCCTTTTCCGTGGGTACTTACAGCCTTTGCTTTCAGGCTAGACTCACCTAAAGGACGTAGTGTATTATACATAGTAGATACAGTGCATACATCTAATAGATATACATACTGTCTCTGGAAGGGAGGATCTAACTCCAGCTGAAGCTTCATTCTTTCGGTGAGCGGATCTGAAATACCCCTCACAGTGTCATTCGCACCTCCTCGACGTACCTTTTCATATTACATCTATTATATGTAACCTAAAACTTTATGATACACGCCCTAGACGCGTATATTATCATTAGCTTATCATAAGAAACCTGTGTGATTCTTAGGCAGTTTTCTCATTTCGATTCGGAGGTCGGAAAGCAGGAAGATCTGGTTCATTGGAGGTCTAGTCTTTATCTCCGATTCGTCAAAGCTGAACCCGTTGTTTTGCGAGATAAGACATGCAGGTAGATTTGATAAGTCAATCACCTAACCTAGGATTTTAGCCTACACACTCCAGTGTATCTTATTCGAATACCGTGTATGCACTCTGCTGCCTAACTGGTAATAATCCCCTACGGCTGAAGGTGATCCAGGACTCAACATCAAGATACAAGGAAAACATGTTGAAAGGTCGACCTAATATATAAAGGGTTAAACTTGGTGGGCAAATATCATATTCTAATATTATTGATATTTCATCAGATCCGTACGACGACTAACCAATATACGACCTTTTTGGTGTAAGGGCGGCCGGGCCTATCCATGGCGGGTTTACTAGTTGAGCATATCAATTTTGAGGACAAAGCTAGAGAGGACTAATATGTAGTGGATGGATGTGCTCCTAAAGCGACTCGGATATAGTGATATGCAAGAAGTCGATAAGTGAAATTCCTTGGAGGTAGTCAGTAATATAGAGAATTTTGTCATTGATCTTCTCTCTCTCTACTCCATAGTCTTTAGCTATTTTGTTCGATTTCTTAAATAGGTAGTCATACCTAGGTAGGTATCTAGGCAGTTTACCTTGCGGGTTGTAGTTTTATTAAGAGGTTAGTCAGAGATCAAGCTGGAGGCTTCTCATATCATAGCAATTACGCCTTACTAACAGTAGTGATATCTATAAAATTTGATAGACATTTAAAATATGTCGTAAACGAGAACGTCGTAATTGAAGTTAACATTTTTAGACAGGACCCGTGGAGTGAAGTAGGCCAACACCACATTGTAGACTATATATAAGGCTAGAATGATAGCTTAATAGGAGGTAGGTACAATAAATGCTCAACTTATGCTGTGATTATTAAAGCTGATTATCATCCATTAAGTAGGTAGGGTTTGGGGTCTCCTTATACGCCTTACAATAAACCCAATGAGGTTAGCTTTGACAATCTGTCTACGTCATATTTGATCAATTGGTGGCATATGTAGAGGTAGATAATCTCATAGATCAATTCCAAGCTCTTGGATAGTATTACGTTAAAGGTTATTCGATATCCATTTCAATCATCTTAATATCTTCCATCCACCCCACAACCCTAAAAGAGCGATCCGGCATATAACAGTAGAATATGGTCTGTCTCATTGACGCAATGGGGACATATCTGACTAACCATGGCATAGGGGTTGAAAGAAGATCTCGAGTCAAACCCGCCTTGCCATCCTCGCGCTGTGAGTACATAGTAAATCTTATATGAAGTCTGGTGGACTGGGGTTGAATATGCATGCAACTAACATTCACCTATTTAGTGTGCTATTCAAGGTATAGAATTTGGACGCCTGGACTGCCGCTCAGCTCTAATGCTAGTATAGATTGTCTTGGAAAGAATGGTTACGACGAAGCGAAGTGTTCTCGCTATATCGATGCCTTGTACGAATGCTGCGACGCTTTCTATAAAAAACATGGAGACGGTGCAACAAGTCCCAGCTGCCCGAAAGCAAGCCTTTTACGGTTGAAGATGAAGCAACGACAAGACGAGCATAGCAAATGAGGTTCACAATTTACATAGACACATATATCAATATTAAAATCGATCTGGGAAGATCTTCTACCTGGCATTGCGCTCATCATCGTTGCGAGAATCAGGCGCTACATACCGATACGGAGACGAGTGTGGTATGTTCTACATCTCCTTCTTTGCGTCAACCCGAATAAAGAAATCAGGCAACATTTACGAAGAGTAGAAATCGTTCTAGGCGATCATTGAGCGCGCAAGAGATCCGCATGGGACCTGGACAAGCATTGAAGGAAATAATGGCTTATCCCGAGACTCTAATATGAATGCCGATGACATTATTGTTGAAGAAAGGAAAAAAAGAATAAAAATTTCGGCAGAGAAATTCTTTTTTGTACTCCCTTGCAGCCACCGAGGCTAATCGAATGAGGCTAGTGCGTTTGTTGCAGGTGCCACCTAATTGGACGACTTCATGGGCGGCTTCTAGCCAATCTGCTAACCTGCCAACCTTATCCAATCTTATCACTGCTCCACGGACATCTCTGACTGGGTAGCTGCTACCGACACGCATACATAGGATCTGAGTCGCGTTGATTCTTTTTTAGTGCAAGAGCTCGACAGCTCCATTCCTGACGACACCAAGTATCGCATTTCCCCATTCTTTGAACCAGACCAATAAGTAGAACAAATTATCACTTTACCTACCTTCATAGTCGATAATACCGTGGCCGCCCTTCTTTTATTGTAACCGCAGACAATTCGGAGGATGCTGGCTAGCAACCAGCTCCTCGCCTAAATATACCAATAACCCACGCTCGGTCGTCTTCTTCACATTCATGATGCTGGCTCGAACAGTCCAGCGTACGTACGGCATACCGTTTGGTGGGCCGTCGCCGTCGCCCGATCCTGATGAGCAAAGTACAGCACTACTACCACCAATTGAACCTCACGATCGGTTAGAGGCTAACAGTGACATGATAATAGCATCGCCCATATACGATGATGCAGAAAATGAATTCGCACAAGATGCCGAGGAATTTGCCAAAGGCCTCGACTCTCTCTCAATAGTGCAGAAGCCCAACGCCGAGAAACGAGCGGACATATTCAGACTCGTCGATACTTACTACCAATATGCGTCTAAAAAAGTTCGCGCTTTGCGCAAATCGCAAGGACAGCTATCTAGGACTGACCCCCGCCATTCATACGAGGTTTCTAGCCAGGATTCTATGGACCTTGATGACGGAGATGATCTGATAAAATCACCAGCCTCATCCGAAATGCTCAAGAACTGGGAGCTGGAAGCACAGACGTGGGATATGTTGCGTCGCCTCTTACCTCTGCGATACCCGAACAAGACCTCTCTTAAGCCTGCCCGCCACGACGTGTCAAGATTCCAATCATGTGCGCAACTCTGGGACGAGTTCCTCCAGACAGACTCTACTGCCCAGGAACGTAAGGCGATTCTAGAATGCCTGCAGACTAGCGCAGACGAATCGCGGGTAGATATAGATGAATTAGTCCGAGACTATCAGCAGCGAGCGGAAAGAGGCGACATCATCGCTTATGGATGGCTTCATACGCGATCTGCGCTCAAGATGCAGAAGAATCTAAACGGTTGGTCTGGAGCACTGGACCCCAATGCTACCGATGTTGTGCAGAAACTCCGGAACGGGTCAAATCCTATGGTAACCCAGCTTGATCCTGACGTAGTAACGAGGCAGAACCGGAAGCTTCAACCGCAGGATGAGTACTTCGAAAGGGCTATCTGGCTTGGATGTTACGAATTACTGCGAAGGGGACGAAGCATTGCCGAAATTCGAGATTGGTGTGTTGAAAGGACCGAAGTCTGGCGAGCTGTTAGTATGTCAGCTATGCCATTATCAAAAGATGAAGGTGAGAGCCGGTTTAACTGTGATCCTCTCTCGATGCTTCTATGGCGTCGTACCTGTTTTGCCTTAGCGAGACAGGGAGGTACTGATGACTTCGAGCGTGCTGTATACGGTATCCTTTCTGGCGATATTCCAAGCGTCGAGAAGATTTGTGAAGATTGGGACGATTTTGTCTACGCCCATTGCAACGCTTTGCTTCGAACACAGTTCGATGCTTACCTGATGAAGCGATCTCCACCAGACGCAACGGCTGCTATAACACAATCATTCTCTACCTTCAACGCCGTGCAGTTTCACGGCGACGCTGCTTCAGTCGGAGAGCGTCTGGTAAAGTCACTGGAGACGAATATCAAGACTGCGGCGGAAGCAAAGACGCCGATGAAAACCCTCCAGGCGGCGATCATTTCCAATAATATAGAGCAGTACACCTACGAGCTCGGTCTCGCACTTGGAAAGGCGGCTAATTCGGGGGATACTTCGGCTTTGATACCTCACTTCGGTGCCTCCAACGAAGATATAGACGATAGCAAGTTTGTCCAACTAAGGGATCATAACGGCCTACGAATTTTGGTCCACGTGTATCTGATCATATCAAGTCTCGAAGAACTACAGGGTGGTTTGCACATGGAGCTTTCCGAACGCCACAAAGCGCGAGAGAACGTAGTCTCCGCCTATGTTAGCACTTTGCGACTAACGGGCTTGACGGATATGATGCCGCTATACTGCAACCAAATGCAAGGAGATAGGGCTTTTTTCACCCTGAGCAGGAATGTTACTAGCGTAACTGACCAGCATGAACGAGAGATACTACTAAGACTCATGGAGAAACTCGGTATGGACGTTGCCGAATTTGTCCAATTCCAGCCTCGTTCTCTACTCCAGGAGCACCCCGAAGCTGAGGAACACCCTCCACCATTTGGTAGATTTACCGTCTTCTCCAACGATCCACCTACGCTTAAGTACGGACGCCCTTTGAAGCCTGACTTCCTCGGGGAACCCCCAGAGAGTCTAGACCCTGTGGACGAGCATCTTATCCAGTCATTGGAATGGTTCCTCCTTGTCGACGGCCTTTGGGACGAGGTTTTCCATTACGGCACAGCTATCTACAAACGCTTTCTTAGTAAGTAGTCCCTTTCACGGCACACCGAAGACAGAACTTTTAGTGCTAATGTTACACTAGAGCAATTCAACCTTCATGCGGCTCGTGCCTTGTCTGAACGAGTTCGCTGCGGCGAAATTTTCAAGCGGAAGGCAGGCATTGTCTACTCTGACGACTCGGACGTGTCATGGTTCGACGAGGTTCGAGCGAGCGCTGCGGCTGGCTCACTGGATGAAAACAGCCTTGGGGTTGAAGACGTCGCAGTAGCGCAAAACTTCTTCGAGATGGAGTGCTTAGTCCGAGCCTTGGATTCGATGGAGACTATCGCATCAAGTGAACTATTAGCCCAGGAGTGAGTACTCGCCATGACAACTACGTTTCTATCGTGCAATATGAAGCTAACTTCCAACACAGTCCTGCAGAGAAAGTAAGCCGGGACTTCTGGTCTAACGTCGGGCGCGAAGTGAAGAACATTAAGAGCTTTATGCGCCATATATTGAATAATTGGCTTATGGAAAGTATTGAAGGTTAGTTATCAGCAACTCGAGGAACGAATACATCTAACTGGAGCGATCAGAAGACGAAGACTTCACGTATCTTCGAGACGCGTATCTGCCTGAGGTGATTATCGGATACGTCAGCGTGTTACATTTCGCAGGTACGACTCTGACCCGTGACAACCTGCTAGAATGCATGGAGCTTGCCTCTGTGATCGCCAAAAAGGACGCGGACGTGGCTGCGGTTATTATGAAAGCCGGACGAATGAAGGAGCTCGTGGAGGGCTTCGCAAACTGCAGCAAGGCGCTAGCTATCAGCAGCAGCGACAAGAAAGGAGCGGGTGGTATTAGTAGTAAGAGGATGATGCGAGAACATGGATGGACACGGGAATTATGGTCGGTCAAAAACTGATGAAGGCCCGCCCGTATAGTTCTACATTGGGTGGACAGGTACTAATGCTTGTAATGCTTCTTCTACCTTTACCTTTGAAATTCGGAGTGGCTATGGCTTGCTGGCGTTGATGATTCATAAGGATAAGACGAAGACTATCAAAAGTGAAGGCGTTCATTAGGGCATATAAGCACGTCCGTAGTCTATGTACAGCACTATCAAACCAGAATTATCCAAGTGCCATGCGCGATGCCTACGTTTTAGAGAGTGATTAAATCATTTCTTAATTTGTTTCTGTTCCTTAACAGAGGGTTGAGATGTACATGTAGTTGATTAAATTTAATACATTAGGAGGTACTTCGTACAGATGGACGAAGTGGAAAGGGGCACGGATACTTTGTAAGTGATAAGATAAGCGGGTGACGTTAGTGACGTTAGGTGCTTCGTATACTTTGTAACTCACCCACAGTCCACTTCGTCCAACAGCTCGATAGCTTAACCTCTCTATCATAACTAGGTACCTCCATAGTAATCTCATTCATTTGCAAGCGCCAGCTCTCCTATTTTCTCGAGGTCACTCCAGAGTCAAATTGTAATAGGTAATACATAAAATAAAAGACAAATTACCATGTACAGCCCGACTCCCCCACCCCCTGTACCACCCCCGAAGCCGAGCAGCCACGACGCCAGCCGTCTAGGTACGCCCGCCACCACTAGCTCTCCTCAACCACCGGCCCCGATCCCGGATGACACATTCTTGAGATCTATGGAGGGGAGGGACAAGTCGCTGGCTACTATGGATGCGTCGGGTTTGATCCCAGCCTCGGCGTCCATGACCAGAGGGACAGAGCGAGAGGTCATACCGGATCCCGGCGACCAGTGGTTGCCAAAGGTTCTTGAGGATAAATCGTGAGTATTGATCCTTGTACCCATTTACCACGGTATATACGTATTCTATATTCATAATGTCTATCTAACACCCGCACAGGAAACAAGACCTTGCCGAAATCCTCTCCAACTCAGCGGCTCTCGACGCTCTTACACACGCACCTTCAACAGCACACCCATCCCTAACCTCAACCCGCGATGCGCTCCTCGCCGCGCTGGACGATAACGTCGCCCTCGCAAGTCACCTCACAGAGCTCGAGGCGCACCTCTCCCAGCAGCGCGCGCAAGCGCAAGCACAACTCCTATCGACGCACGCCCTTGAGCGCCAGTGGCGCCAGAAGCAAGCCGAGATGGACACCGCGCTCGCGCCGTTCGCGCCCGCAGCTCTGTACGCGAGGCTGGGCCAGAGCCTGGCAGAGCAGGAGGCCGTGTGTCGCGCGCTAGAGGAGAGCTTTCTGGAAGGAGGGGGGAGCGAAGGGGCTGGAGGTGAGGAGCTGGCGACGGAGAGGGAGACGCTGGATTGGGTGAGGCGGTACCGCGAGGCTAAGAAGCTGTTTTATCTCCGCCACGAGCGACGGGAGAGGTGGAATGAGCACCGCGTTGGAGGCTGGCGTTGAAGGAAAGCCTTGTTCGAATTCTAAGAGACGGGCATCGCGTGCTTTGATACTACAATGCCAATAGAAGCAGCGTCGAGAACGGTCCTTTTGCGAGTTGAGTTACTTGACCTCCGCGCCCGCGATACTACTGGCGTGATTCTGGCCTCATCGAATCTCGAACGACATGCACGATGACTACAGTCTGGCTGATATTGGCCAGCATGTTTACCACTGAATTGGGATAATTTACCCCAGCCGTCATAAGCAACCCCGGGGAGGGGGTGGTCTTCTTTTCCTGCGTTGATACCCATCCCACCGCGTTTTAATTTCAATTTGCTCTTCTACTCGGGGGTGTACCTAGGCGCACGTGCTACGAGGGTTGTCCGTGGTCTAGAGCCGATTTGGTATGGGGTTTCTCTTAAGCGCGAAATCGTGGGCGAACTGTTTATTAGGGCTTGAGGGGAACGGTCCGACTAGCAGTTTGGGAGTTATAGAAGAGTGTGGGCGGACAGGATGAAGCGCGGCGGCTAGTAGGACGGATGAACGTGCGAGATGGTCGCGCGCCTAGCTCCTACCGAGTCATACGCCGGAAGGGGTCTAATTCGGTTTTTACTCGAGGACATTGCTAAGAGCTTCACGGTCTCTAATCCTACCACCGACTGGGCTGCGGGACCTTCTACAATGGGATAATGGCAGTATACTCTACGAGTTGTGAGGTTGCTCACCGGTTGGTGACCTGGAGGCGGTGGGCGGTCGTTTCAGGACGAGCAATTCGCAGGCGGGTCGGAGGCGGGTAGGGCAGGCGGACATAGATACATATAGCAGGGCGGAGCTGCGGCGAATCACAGCGGGTATGGAGGCACATACGAGTGTGTCGCGAGCGGCCGTTGCGTCGATGGTCGTGAGGGGCCTCCTATTCGGACCGACGCACGTATACGGGTTACAGCATGTGACAACCACAAACACACGTGCAGCAGCAAGCTCCGAGCAGTAATTGTTGATTGCGGATTGGATTGGATTGGATTTTATAGATAGTCCTATGTATGTATGTATACTATAGTATATACATGCGATAAACCTAGACTAGGCGGACGAAGTATATATATATATGTATAGGTATGTATATGTATAATAACTCAAGTTCTATAATCGTAGTAGTGATAGGGAAGATGATCGGAAAATAAAATATATGTATTAGATAGGTAGACCAGTTCCTTTCGTGTCGTACGGACTTGACCTAAGAATTAACGCGCGTAGTCTTTCTGCATAACCCAGTTACCTCTTAGGTAGGTAGGTAGGTAGGTAGGTAGCGATGCGTTGGCGCGGCGTAGACGGACGTAAGGGCGATCTTCAACGTTACGCGGGTAGGGCTATGTATAATAATAATAATATATGCCATACGGCGTTGTTTGAACCAAACTCAATAAACCTAACTAGTTAGTTCTTTTCTTCCTAACTAGTTACTATTTCTGACTTTTGACTTTTTGGGTGGAGGAGTCGTGTTAGTAGGTAGTGTGGTGATTATTATTATTATTATGTCGAGCATTGGTATACCTGCTTCTATACTATACTCTTTCCTAGCAGCGTACGTCGCGCCGCATCCCATCCCATCGCATCACATCACATCATAGCGAGTCCGCCCGCCGCTCTAAGAACAGAGAACATGGTCTCGACTTCACTCGTTTCGTCTCCATCGATTAAATATACCCGACTTATCGGATGCCGGATAGACATACATACATAGGTACCTCATATATGCATGCGGGCTATTCCGACTACCAAGTATATTTATTTGATCATCTAGTGTACCTATAACGCACCATAGCGTATCCAGACCCTAGGTTAAGCTACCTTGGCCCTATCTCCCTATCCGCTATGACACGCATCCGCGCGGAAGCCGAGTGGCTGGGTAAGGATCCGGCAGTCTGGCGGTGACGGCCACGTGGGCCCTCCCCCCTTTTCCGGCGCTCCCGACTCTGTGGCTCTGCTCTGCTCTGCTCTGTTCTGTGCTTTGTTCCCACCGAGGCGCGTCCTCCTACATGGTAGCCATATGTACATACATACGTACGCCCCTAGGCAAGGCGATATAGGTCTTATCCTATGGGATTTTAGTTCTTTTTCAACCACTAGATTCCATTTCCATTCCTGACTCTTATCCCCTTTTACTCGTTCACACCACTTCACTACCCTACCTATACTTTACTTGATTTCATATTATTACTCTCCACTCGACCCTACAGAGCAGGCCATCTCATTCCCCTTGTCTACGTCGTCCCGTCTGCTTTCTCAAGTGAGCTCTCGCATCTATCATATATATGAATTCTCTAGTATCGTATTAAAGCCCAACTCCAAGTTTCATATGCCTCACTATATATAACCTATCTCGCGCGAGATATCTACCGACTTCTTTTCCGAGCTTATCTCATTTTAGAAGACTGAACGGACTCATGGCCTTCATGTCGGGGCTGCGCGGGCTCATCGGCAGCGCAAATAGCTCGTCTTCCGTCTCTTTAGTCTGGGTCGCGGGTGGTGCAGCGACTGCTTGCGCGTTCCCGCCGAGAACGGCATCGAGGGACGCTACGTTGCTAGTATCTGCACCTGTTCTTAACGCTGTTGTCTCTTTCCTGCCTGGGGGAGGCGGATCGCGCTTTGGGATATATTGGTTGTGTTGATGCGAGTAGTGAGTACCTAGAGAGAAGGTAAGTTTGTCTGTAACATGAAGAGTAACGCGTCTAGGGATTATATAGCAGAGAACAAGGAAAAAGAATGGCTACCTGAATGATTGGCCAAGTCCGACGGCGAAGTCGCCAGCTTCAGCCCCTTTAACTTCTCGCCTAGACGACCACCTATCGGGGAACGCGGGCTCTGCGGAGGTGCCTGAGATACAGAGTCGGTACCAGCGACGTTGCAACCAGCATCAGGAACGCGGAGATCATCGAGGCCGAAGTGGTCGATGATCCAGAGGCGTTCCTGGACAGCCATCTCGAGCCCCACGCTCTCGCTATTGTCGCGGAGCTCAGCACGGATCTCATCCTGGAGCTGTCCGGCCCGCAGCCGCGCCCATACCGTGTGCAAAACGCCGCGGCGGCCCGCATCACGAGACCCGATCCCGAGTCCCGGCGCGAAGATGGCCGGCATCGCCTTAGCCATCAACGCTCGGCTCGAGCTGGCGTGAGAAATGGTTACTATGGGGGGTACTACGGCATCCGAAGGTAACAGGAAGTAAACACGTTGTCGGCGCTGTCCTTTCTTCTCAATATCCTCTTCCTCGTCCTCCACTCTCTCCGCGACTGGAAATGTCGTCGTCTTAGTTTCCCACGTCACGACCCAACCGTCCTCCCCAGACGGTGTCGGATCCCATTCCACCATAAGAATCTTGGATCCCTCGTTTCCGCGGCCGGCCTCGAATTCAAACCGCGCGAAGGCGTTTGGCGAGGCGGGCGATACCGGCGAGTCTACTACGCCCGGTTCCGAGGGGGCAAAGGACGACGGGGCAGCTGGTTCGGGTATCCGGAGGGGACCGGACCCGGACGAGGTCGGCTGACTCGGTGTAGGATCCATAGCCATTTGTATAATTGTGTGTGCGCAAGCCCGGTAGCCCGCTTTGGGTGAGAACGAGTGTGAGGTTACCTCCCGAGGTGTGTAAGTAGGGTAGAGGACCGCCGCTAGGAGCGCATCGAAAGCCAATGGAGATGGCTGAATGGAACGGTCTCTCGAAGGGGGGGTAAAGGAAAGGAGCGCGCGTCTGGCGCAAGAGGATGGTCAACGGGCCAATGTTCCCTGAACACGCGCCGCACACACGCGCAAAACTTACTCGCGCAGCCGCGCAGCGGGGGAATAATCTGTCAAGTTGTCTCGGGAATATTGTCTAGCGGCGGATGAATCTACTGGGTAATATCAAGCGGCAGCGGCAGCGGCAGCGGCAGCGGCAGGGCCAGCAAGGCAATGTAGGCTCCCTTCTTGGCTACTGCCACTACTCCTCATGCAACGTAGACATCGGCAGTTGAGAGACGGCGACAGAGAAGAGGAGGAGGGCAGATCAGTTTTTCAAGTCGCAAGCGAAGACGAAGCGAAAGCCTGAATTGTTATGCCTTAAGGCTTCAACAACAGCGCGGACCTAGTAATAAGGGTATGGGTATGGGTAAAGGGGGAGTTGAAAAAGAGGCTACCTAGGTGTGCAAATTAGAACCTTGGATAGTAATAAAGTGTAGAAGTTCCCTTTGGTTCTCCTAGACGCGACTACTAACTAGGTACCTAGCCTCACTCGTGTAGTTTGAATTGAGGCTACTATACGTATGCGGGCGGGCGGGTATAAGCCTAGGAGGTGAGGAGTAGTAGTAGGCGGGGAGAGGAACGAGATAGAAAGAGAGAGAGATCGAATGGTTCCTTTTTCGCCAAGTGACGACTCTCGTGGCAGAAAAGGGAATGCTCGACGTCTTGGCGGCGATGATGTATAGACTATAGTACGAGAGAGGAACACGTAGGGGTGAGCGAGGCTCGTTATGTCGAGCGGTGTTTTTTTAACAGCCATTCAGCCATTCAGCCATTTTGGAATGGCATCCATGTAACTCCCAAGTACCTATAGTAAGGGGACGTCAGTGACAGCGGGGGGGTTAGGAAACGCCATGCCCATGAGCGAAAGCGACTCATCAGTGAATAGAAAGTCGTGCCAATCCACGCATACATGTGGCTTTCTAAAAATAGACGGACACCCACGCAGCCAACCCGTTTACCGTTGGCTCGGGGCTAGTCGGTCGTTGATTTTCGGCTGCGTAGGTATGTACTAAGGAGAAATCGGAAATTGGGGAAGAGCTTTTTAGGTGAGACTCGCGAGTTGTCTGGTTGTGTTAATGGTGTTAATGGGCATGGGGGGGGGGTTGTTTACTATGTATGTAAGCCTGTCCCCCCATCTTCCTTCGACAACGAACTTCCTGATCTGTTCGTCAGGTGAAGCTAGGATGCAGAATCCATCCTTGGAATCCCAGCAGCTTGGCTCCTCGTGCTTCTCATACATAGTACATACATATGTAGAAAAGAACCCAAAGAAGCCTTATCTAGAATCATTCTAGACGCCTGTACGCGCACGCGTCCCCGTGTTTGGGAACGTAGAGATTCGGGTTAGATCAACTCCGAATCGGCAAGTCGAACGAGCTTCTTAATAGGGCTGATTTCCCAGCACCATACCTTTTCTGCATCGCTTGCTATGCTAATTGGTGGTGGTATTTTCTACACAAATGTGATTCAACGAGATTTATGTGGTTGGGGTACAGTTGCTTTAAGGGAGTTGCTTTTAAGGGACGGAGGCGGGCCGCTATTACATAGTGGCGGGAGACACAGAAGAGCAACTTTGCCAACGACGATTAGGGAGAGACAGCGAAGCTAGAAACGACTGCCGCTTTACACCATAACCTCAGGGAATGATACGAGCTGTAGGCTAGCTCACGTCATGGATACTGTCTTCTGTTGTGTGCCCATTATTTCTCTCGAGGATTGGTTCGCTTGGTTTCATCTTGAATACATATCAAGTATAAGCTCATCACTAGAATGTTTATCGCTGTGCCTCAGCTGGCGAAACAAGTAAATGAAACGCATGATAGAACATGTCCACATGAGCAACAATGCCACACCGAAATCACCGAAATACACTAAACGTCGCCTCCACGTTGTTGCGTAGATGATATCTAAGACCGAGCTCGGGAGAAGTCTTCTGCGCGAAGCAGACGAAAGACCACGGCTATGATGGCTAGAATAAGGCTAGCTGGACATAGTCGCTGGATATGGTCTGTGAACAACTGCTTTTGTTTCACTAACCTTGTGTTCTGCCTACATCGTGGAGTTTACATAGTGTTGATCGTCACCGCATTGCGGGTTGAGCTAAGCATTGCGGGTAGAGCTAAGGTATTAAAGGGTCATGGATACTTGGAGTCTTGGAGTCTTGGAGTCTTGGAGCATCGGAAGTGGCCCCGATGACGTTTCCCCAGGCTATATTTTGTAGGCTATATTTTGTAGTGTTCGGTAGCTCGCTACATGTGATCGTCCTAGATTTAACCAAAGACGCATGCCTTCCGAGTTATGATATCTCATTCGAAACACTTACTAGAATTAGTTCTATCTGGCCAGCCAAGCCATTGCAACAGAGGTATCATCTCGAGGAAGGTCGAGACGGTGAATAGTTATCGGGTATTAATCATTTCAAAGAGACCTCAACATGTGTTAATGTATTAAATATGATATGAACGGTGTTGAACTGATGAATAAACCATCAATTTGCGCCACAGAATAAGTCCGGTTTAGATCATGGGTAGTAAGTAGCAATGTTTCATTCTTTCGACTTCAATATTTGTTCTCACGAAGACCACGTTGCACCGGTGTAGAACAGTGGCGTTATAAAATCCCTACATCTGGCACGATTCTCATTTCTGCTGCGGACAGCCAGGTGATTTCTAACCGCATCTACACGGCTCTGGGAAATTATCCACAGCGACGTCGTACTCTAAAGTACGTGCATGAGTCAGGCTGGCTCAAATCCGCTGATATCAACATTCCTAGTTGATATTACTACAGTGGCCACGTAGAAATATGGTCTTCTCTAGCCTCGATTTAATAGTGAGCAGGTTGAGAAGCCGTGTATTGTAGATATGTAAAGAAAAGGTATAATTCGCATCTTGGACAGAGTTGAATCTGAAGATGAAATTTAGGGCTGCTAGCCAATGAGGGCGAAATTATGTCGGATACTGCGAGGGTTAGAAAAGGCCGTAGTAAGGCCGCCCGATCCACATGGGCGGGCGGTCCCTTTTCCTTTTCAACCAGCATGACGGACCCGGCGGCTCTATCGCGGGGAATTCCCAAGCCCTTGTTTCTGACGGGGCACGGTCACATCTAGTAGGCATCTTGTAGGAAGGTGTCCTTCTTAGTACTATGGTATAAAGAAGTAATGATGCGATACGATCAACGCACTTAGCGTATCATGTTACCGCCCATCTAGCTTCCCCATCTTCGCGTCTAGTCGTAGATTGTGAAGTACACGAGGTGAAGAGATATGTACATACTCCGGATAAAATACTTGTCTGACAGGCACCACATTTGGGACGCTGTGGGAGTTAATTATGCCGAGACGCAAGTAATAAAGGAATATGTACATAGGCTTCTGTATGCATAGCCATTGTATCATGATGCGGGGCCCCTTTGGTTCTCGATTTTCATCAATGAAACTTGACGGCTTAGAATGGTCATGTGCAATGTCTCGCAGAAGCAGAGATTGAAAAAGGGGTCTCGATCCCATTGGGAAAAAGGGTTGTCTCTCTGTCTAGGTGGCATGTTACACTGCGAGACCGAAATGAGAAAAGCAACCCCAGAAGTGCCGAAATCGAATGCAGATCTTTCCCGAATAGTAATTGCATCACCGGCGCTGGTGAATCGTGAATCGTGAATCGGGATGAAAGACCTCGCTCTCCCTGGTAAACTGGCATGATACTGCCCTTAAGTGAAGCCGCCGGCTGCATGAGATCAAGGCTTATCATCTGTTGTTTGTCCTCGAAGCTTGCGTCTGGCTCTCGGTCTGTAGGCAGGGGATATCAAGTTTAGATATTTGGGTCGAATCCCGCATATGCCAAGTGTTATCACGACCGTGCTCATGATGACCGAGGGAGGCTAGAGTATGGTAACCGAGTTTACAAGCATCTTCGACGACGTCAAGTAGAAAAGTCGGTGCTACTCTCGGCACTGACCACGACAAGTATTATAATTTCACGAGACTATGAACGGAAGCCCACGAGGCTCCGCGAGGTACAATCGTGGAGCAATCGTGGAGCTGCAAGCTATAACCGAGCTGGAAATAGGCTAAATGGGAAAAGCTTGGTTGCGATGCTTTCCCAGCTATCAGCCAACCCCATAAAACCCCATAGTCAGATCCGGCCAGACGCGCAATTGGAGGGGCCCTAACGTGAGACTATATGTTGATGGTGATATGTCTAACGAGAGACGAAAGATAACACGTAGATAGAGCTAGCAAGGGAAAGAGAGCTAGGTGAGATATCACGAAAGCTGGATTTCGATAAAAGGCCGAAGGAGGGAAGCTAGCTAGGATTTGATAGAAATTATTTGCGGGCGGCCGATATATCTATGAGATGTCCACGGCCCGATAAGTAGTGACTCCGAAGGGGACCGGCTGCTGGTAGGTCTAGGCTCGCCATATCGAATGCGGTGCAAGTCGGATGCTGATGGGAGATGATACAATACCAATGCCGTATGAGGAAGGCTATCGGTCATGGCCGTACGATGGAACACTCACGGAATCTGTCTGACTTCACCAGGAACTAGGATACGGTAATAACCTTCCCCGGGTTCAGGTACGGATGAATTGGTTTTAACTGGTATTAGCAATATGGAAATAAGCTGATGCCGGGGGCCCCAATGTTTAATAATACCCCCTCAATGTGTTTTGAGGTGCTCATTGATTAGGATAGACCCTAAGCCGTGAGTAAATGACTCTGATGAGTTTTATCACGGTGTTTTGCATGTACGGGCAAGACGGCAAACGATTTCGGACAATTGCGTAGTGATAAGAACATTGACCTGAAGTGTGGATCGTGGATCGTGGGAATTGGTTCAAGGTGTGGAAAAAAAAGAAGAGGGGGGAGAAATTAAGTGGTTTCTCGGTGCAAAAAGAGTCAGGGACTAATAGTGGTAATAGTGGTAATACATAGTAGGCTCGATGTATCTTTACGATAAGGCGCATAGCGACATATCACTCGCTGGCGATAGGTCGGCAGCACCTTCCAGCACTCCACTATTTGGCCGGCCAAATCGCCGTAAGCAACAAGAAGATAACCCCTCGGGCACCCTATTTTATAGCTCATCCCACCATAACACCGAATAGACTTGACGGGTTTTAGTGGATTTTCCCTTCCCCCAGTGCCACCCACGCCCCCCAGGCAAGCTAGGCTAGCACACCCCCATCATGGGCTTCTTGCTCAAGTACCTAATGTAATCCGTACAGTCGCCCGTTCTCCACACCTACCTTACATGTACGGATTACCCAGTCTAACTTACATGTACCAGTCCTTCTTGCAGTCTTTTTTGTACAGTTACTAATGACCTGACCCTGGATTTTCCCGCTGTTTTTCCCTGAGCCACTCCCAATCCACTCCCGTACACTCCCCCCCCGTCCACTCCCGTCCTTTTCCAATCCCCCCCAAGCTTCTAACTCGCGGACTAGTTCCCACTTGGGTTCTACCATCTTCAAGTTCTCGGCCTCATTTTTCCCACGTTCTCAACCCTTATCCACTTCCTTTGTTCCAGTGGTAAACTCTATGGGTTTATTCTGTTCCTAGTACTGGCCATACGGCATCTTGCCCTATCTAGTCACTTCTGTCAACGTTGCCCTTCTCTCCGTTACCTTGTCTTAGTTGTTTCTCTCTGTTCAACACCATTTCGAGACCCATCTCTCCCGCTTCCCGAATCTTGGCCCAGGAACAATTGCGCCTCGCCTCTTGGCTTCCTAATACCTGCCAGTTATACCACCTTTGCTTTCTCAATCGACGCTTTTTTCATCCCGTCGCGATATTCGTCTTCCCGCCAACTCGAATCTCGTTCGTGACGATACCGAATCCTCAGGGTCTACGATAGCTACCTAATCTTCGGTCACCATATCGGTCTTGACGAGACTCAACCTTCCAATTCCACTCCTACGGCCGAGACTTAGCCAACCAGAGTCTGGTTTGAGCGAGAGAGAGGAGGCGTAGAGCGCTTTGGCTGTCGTATTGTGTCTATACATCTGACGTCGCTCGCTTCATCTCATTGCTGTAGTTATAGTCTGTCATTTTTTCAGTCTCCTTCGCCCTCGACTCGATCTGCGAACCGCCATCCTTCACCCCGAATTCGTGAACGGATTATCCAGCCTATCCTCTAATTTACTCGATATATTCGATGCCTCAACATGTTTGATTTGCCTTCGGCGATTTTCAATACTATCGAGTCCGTCGCCGTCGCCTTTCCTGTATGATAAAGGACAAGCGTGCATTACAAGCACTCGCTATCTGTCCCTTTCGATCCAGGCGTGCCGGCTCAATTGTCTAAAAGTCATTTATAATGGATCCTCCACATCTCACCGAATTCGCCTCGCAGCGGTATTTCGATAAGCTCAAGCAGCTAAGCGAGTCCAAAGATCAACCTCACGATGCTGTTGCTCACGCGCAAGATGGCTCTGTCGTGGCCGAATCCTCGACATTCATACTACCTATCAGAAGACCGAAGGCAGTCGATCAAGTCTCGCACGACACCCACAGGGCAGAAAAGCGCCGTGGCAATTTCATCGGCTTTAAGATTTTACCGTCGCGCAATTCCGTCGATCACGACTCCCGACGATTGTCTGTCGATTCTACGAAGAGGAAGAGCACGCCTTTCGATCAATTGTTCCTGGCACTCCCCAATGAGCTGAAGATCCAGATCATTGCCTCTCTGCCTTTATCTGACGTACTAAGCCTTCGATTAGCCTCGCGGTCATGGCACGCGATGATTACAGTCAACGAATTCCCGATTGCTCGATACCACCTGGAACATCACGTCCCGGCTTATGCGAAGCGATTATACCCAGTGCCCGATCCGACCGCGATACGGCTCCATTATCTCTGTGGGATATGGCACCGACTACACGTTGCTGCTAAGCTCTCTTACTTAATATGCGAGAGGGTGACGAAAGAGATATTTCTGAGAACTACCGAGGCTCAGCGCCTTGAATTCGAGCCGCAATACGAAAGGATGCGCCGCCGATTAATACCACTACTCTTTACAGTATTTCATTTTTTCGAAACGTACCGAACATTGCATATCGAATACATCAAGGAACATGGGCATGGTTTGTCACGGGAGCCATATACCCTGAACCCTATCGAGCTAAAGATCATGAGCATGTATGACGACCAGACGTTATTACGCGTTCACCAGGTGTTCCCCCTGGTGGTGTCTTCCTTCTGTCGACGCCTTCGACCACCGTCCTACGTGGGTCGGCTAGAACGTTCTCTCCGAGGTTACCTGAAGGACCGGCCTCCCGACGAAGTTTACGTGACTGCAATGTGTGTTGGCGGACTTCGACAGGTGGAACGGTTCTGGGAGATTAAAGGGTATAATTCGAGGAGAGGGGCCGTCGATTCGTGGTATAATTCGGTCCTGAGGGAGCCCATGGAGGTGGCGTCGAAAACGCGGCGAGGATTTAGGGGTCTTACTCGGAAAAAGTCGAGCGCGAGCGAGGCCGATTTTACGAGATCTGGAGAAACCTACGTAAACGGCCGCGGGCGGCAAGGGTCGGACGCGGGCCGACGTGGCAGTGATGCATCGATGATTGCATGGGAAAATTTGGTCTTTAATACGAGTCTGGCTGAGGGTATGCCGATGGGCGAATTAACGCGCGAACAATTGAAGATATTGATTCCCGACCTACCGAACTTACAAGAAATATGGCTCCCAACAGCTGAGGCTCTTATATTAGACCGAGGGATCGTGGAGCGCCCTCAGGACATTAAACGTAACGCGCAGGTCATGCTGGAGCTGATTCGCGAGGACGGTGCTGCCGAGGAAGACGAATGGTGGTACGGACGGATAGCACCGGAGTCGGTCCGACCGCCTCTCGAAGCAATTGAGGAAGATCCCATCGAATAATTACTTACTATCTACCTATCTACTTATTTACCAAAGGGGACGGGGGTTGTTGGGTTGTTGGGTTAGTTGATTGATACCTAGCATAAGCGCTTAGAAGATATCCGGGGGGCCAGCCGTCGTCTAGCCATGTCATCAGCATTTACAGGGCGTTTATAACAAGGGCGGGAACTTAATCTCTTCGGTCTGAATTTTTTTTCGTCGTTTCTCCCGAAAACGGGAAGTACGTACAATATTTCTTCTTATATATCCTCACCTCTTGGGTAGGCGGGGATGGGAAGAAAAGGGAGGGAGCTTGGGCGAATCTATAGGAGTTCGAATCATCCGAGAGCACACTTACTACTGGTTGCTTGCTTGCTTGCTTGCTTTCTTGGCTCGACTTGGGGCCAAGAACATATATCATACCATATCATATCTATCGTACCAATACCATACCTACTTGGTGTTCAGCTTCTTTTCCTTTATGTCGTCGTTGCCTTTTCCTGTCGCTATAGGCCATAAACCGAAACGGGGAGCAACTCTATCTTTTTTTTAATTCATGTTTCGCGCGGCATTATGTTATTTCGAAATTATGCAAGCAAGCAAGCGAACTTTCCGAGCTTCCCTCCCCCATGCGTGCTAGGAGGCAAAGGGGGGTGTATAGCAGGATGGATATCTTTGGATAAGGGAGAAAGGACATGTGAGATTGGTTGGTGGATTGGGTTTATACGGATATCACTGGTCGCACACATGAGAAGCGAGGGAGCGAAAAAGACGTACGCGTCTTCTATAAGAATAAGGTATGGACGAGGAGGAACCAAGCAAAGTAGATATATAATCTCATATATCAATCGATGATGTTCTCGGGCCCATCTTATTTTATTTCATTCCGTTTCACATGTCGCCTATTCAAGTTCCTGTCCAACTCTCCGTATCGTATTCCCTCACACTTGTCCTTATCCCCTTCCCTTAATGACCATCTCTTCATCCGTACCCTACCATACCATCCATCCATCCATACATCCACCCTCATGTCCAGCACACCATCACAACACCATACCGACAACAACAACAACAATCACCAACAAAAAGTGCAAAGTCGTAGTAGTAGTAATAAAACGAACCAGGCGACGCAAATGGTATATTTGAAACAGACACTCGAAAAATTCCGTAAAGCATGGTGTGTAACAGAACCAGCGCTCCCGACGCTTTGCTTTCCCGATATGAGGACCGATGCCCATGAATAACAAAGTGAGGAAGGAAGAATAAGAAGGGGAGAAAGTAATCCGTGAAGAAAAAAAAGGGTCTGTGCTACAAAGTAATATTCAAATCAAATCCCTCTCGAGAACCGAAAAAACCCGCCCGAGTGTACTGGCGCCGGTCGGAAGGGGGATCATTTCACTATGAAGAAACGAAGAAGAATAACAAGTGGCCCTTATGCCGTTTCCTTTCCTGAATCCCTTTCCCTTTGAGACGTTCCATCGTAAAACCATGCAGCGAAAATAGAACAAACAAACATAAAAGGGCGGAGAGCTGTTTGAGCTGTGCCCTCTACCCCTGAGATCCAGATACAAACGCCACTTTATATTTTTTTTGTACCGTTCCCTATAACGCCACGTTCCGTCATATATCATGTGCGTATTGAACCTTCCGTGCTTCACAGCCCCCGGGGGTCAAATGAGATAACTCACGACGGCCACCTATTCTGGGTGGCACGGCCGACATTCGAAGAGGGCAGATAACTGTTATTCATCCCCGTGGCTGAAGAATAGAGAGATGCTGCGCTCGAGCCGGTTGTCCGCTGTTGCGAAGGCACGCCGCTACCTAGCCCGTACGAACCGGTACTAAGTCCTAAGCCGCCATGATTATTGTTAGAATCTAAGCTCTGGAGTTCCAGGAAGCTTGAGTCGAAAGAAGGTGCAAAAGTTGAGGGCATCGCAGCATGTGATGTACTATGAGTAGTTGTTGGAGTCTGGCGTGCGCCGAAATGGGGCGAGTGGTTCGAAACACCATGACTTGTGGCACCTCCTGCACGATAGTTGCTATCGAGGGGCGACGCCGAGGGTGTTCGACGCGGCGGATATCCAGTACTGCTGTGAACAAGTGACGGCGACCCCCTATAATTAGTGTCCCCTTGCATGAGCGGCGAGTTAGACTGTGCGCCAAACTGAGGAGAATTAGTCATATGCTGTACAAGACCTGTTCCAGGAGATCCTGTAGCCATATGCTGAGGCTGACGTTGACTCGTAGGGTACGTGGGCGTTTGTGTGTTGTAGGACGAGCTAAGAGTCTGTGTTTGGTAGTAATTTTGAGACGGTCTAGTCTGCTGGTGGGAAGCTAATGTAGATGGCATCTGGGGGGCCTTCGAAGTCTGTGAAGAGATAGGGGAGGCCGTTTGGGCATTCTGTTGTTGCATCTGTTGACGATTGGCAGTCTGTTGTCTTGCGTTATCCTGGCGATTTTGGAGCGCCGTGAAACGTTCGTAGTGAGCTTCTAACCCTTCCGCGGGGGTCGGAGAGGCTGTACTACCAATTGATGCCGTTGCCTGATGCTGCTGTTGCTTCTGAGGGCGATTAGCGTTGCTCTGCACTTGGTCACTGCGGTTCTGTAGTGCAGCTATTCGTTCGTAATGAGCTTCGAGACCTTCAGCCTGCGTATGGCTCTGAGAAGGAGCAGTGACCTGGCCAGCTTGCCGGGTTTGATCCAGGTTGACCGCTGCAGACGACGCAGGATTCTTATTCCCTATATTATTTGGAGTCGAGCGTTTTGCTGCTTGTAGAGATCCCGACTCCTGGGACTTGCGTGGTCGCTTTGTAGACGGCGTAGTATTGACATTCGTAGAGGTCTGCTGAATAGACTGGACGGCAGCTGAGGGCTGCGTTTGAGAAATCGGAGCTGAAGTTGCCTGGGAAAGGCTAGACTGTGCTTGTTGGGGAATTACATTACTTCCGATAACGCCATCAGAGGCTCCGTCAGTTTGAGGGTTGACAATACCAGTGGGGGCAGACTGACGCTTCCGCTTCTTCCCAACTATAGACGACTCCTTAACTTGAGGGGTCGGCACCTGGCTATTAGCTATAGCAGGCGGAGGTAACAGCTGGGCTCGCTGATCGTTCTGAGCAGCAACACCATCCGCGATAGACGATGTGGTAGTGCCACCTGTAAACGAGGGACCAGCAACAGCATGCTGGTTAATTTGCTGGTTTGATGGGTCAGCCGTCTGCTGCTGTTGCTGAGATATAGCGCCATCTTGACCTATGGACTCGCCGGCGGCCTTAGGGCGATTCTTAGAACCCTTTGGGCGTCCCGAATTTGGTTTCTTTCTGGGTTGCTCACCGAGCATGGGTATTGGTACTGGCACAGGGGTCACCTTTGGTGGTATTGGGAGCGTCGATACATGATCGGCTTGAATAGGGGGAGCATTCGAGTTTGCAGGTGTGGAATCAGCCAGTTGACCAGCTTGCTGCACACCAGGCATGTCCTTAGGTCGGTTTTTGGAACCCTTTGGCCGTCCACGTCGTTTTGTATTAGACCCAGGCGCAAGTGCCGCAGTCGCATCGTTGATAGACTTAAAACCACCAGTCGAACCCATGATCGGGGTATTGTTGAACTGGCCGCCGCCCTGCAGTTGCGGGGGTGTATTCGGAGCATTCTCCGATGGCCCCTCAACCTCGACTAGATCGTCGTCTCCGTTCAATTCCAGGACACTATCCTCTACATCCACCCAGCTGTCATCTTGAGCTTCTTGGGATCGGTTTGTGGTTCCCTTAGTACCCTTCTTGATACCCTTGTCACTCCGAGACTTGCTGGCTTTGCTGCCCTTCGGACGCCCCCTAGGCCGTCGCTGATTTATAGACTGCACAGATGGGAACGATGCCCGCCTCCGAGGTTCTTTAAGATTAGGAAATATCTCAGCAATCCACCCGACAAATAAAGAGCCGGAACCGTTTGATTCTGCGCTTTCGGGGAATTTGCCATCAGCAGGAGGCGGAGCCTCCGGGATGCCGCCAAAGAATGCCAGTGCCTTACATAATTGGTCGACTACGGTGTGAGGGGGGAGAGTTCTTAAAAGCGTCAATAATCGAGCCTGTTCAGTTTTTGTTTCGGCGAGAGTGAGAGGGCTGGCCGTCTCGGGTACTGGTACTATTTCAGCGACCGGCTCTATAGAAGCAGACTTCTTCGGGGACGTGAATTGTTTCAATCCAGGCGGCCGGGGATAGTTCGCTCGTCGTTGGTGAGATACGTAGCTATCGGTCTGGGCTAATTTGGCCTGCAGAGCCGTGCTTTCGCTTGTGCGCTTCGCTGCGGCATCACGACCTTCGCTTGCGCGATGACTTGCAACATCCATGTGCATTACACTGAAGTTCCCCTTCATCTGTTCCGTAACATCCTTCAGTTTGCTCGGGACCGGATTTCTAACGCGTCCATCTCGAGGATACTGTCTCAGATCTGCATGCATAGAGCCATCATTGGATAGCGTAGAAGACAGGAGGCCATTGGTGCCGCCATTAATAGTAGGAGCGGCCAGAGATGGCGACGGTGCGGTTAGACCGGGCGTAGGAGATTCAGAGTGCGGCTGGATATTGGTACTCGAGGCTCTGGCAGCAATGGAAGATGGATTGTTTGCCAAATTGGCTGGTTGTTGGCCTGTGACATCTAGTTAGGTAGAGACATGAGAGAGAGGGGAAAGAGGCGTACTGGATGTGGTAGCCATTTGGTTGGAACAGTACCAACCATGACAAGGAAAGGATTACTACTGCCTGAGTTCTCGTCTTGTTGGCTACGCCACGAAAATCGAACTTATCACTGACAGCTGAGTATGGACCGGTTGGCGGGATTCCATGCTCATCGACCTCAGACGGAGATATAGGAACTACCAGCGCGTCATTGCGAGTAGTCGATGCGACACCGCGATCAGCCGGGGGGATGGAAAATGTCAATGGGTCGAATGCGCCGAAAAGTTTTATATTGAGACTACCAGCCGATAGAAATAGAAGTAGCAGCAGTAATAATAACTAGTAGTAATAATACTGCTAATGGTGTTGTAGTAGATGCTAGCTACACTAATAAAGGTGGGAAGTCGGGGCGGCGAATACGGTGCAGATTAAGTTTTGGACGCTGATGTTCAGCCCGTCGGCGAGGGGACAGGGCAAATCAAAGTTAAATGTGGTTGACGGCGACAGGTGGTTGGGCTTCATAGGACTGGCTGACCGCTAAACGTTGGTGTAACAGGTGATTAGGACGACTAGGACGACGCAGGTTATCCGCAGGTAATCCAAGACCAAGAACCAAAGGGGTGGGGGAAAGAAAAGGTAAGATTGTTAAAAAAAAAAAAAAAAATGGTGTTTTGGTAGTAAGTGGTTCGGACGATTTGGTTCTCGTGCTCCTCCGTCGGCGGCTATTGGATTTACACGTCGACTCTCCAAGATTTGGGGTTGTACCTCAATCAAGACGGGATTAGTGGATTAGATAGCGGAGTCGCGAAGCTGTTTTGGTAGTCTAGTAGGGATGGGGGATCCATTATCGCTGCCATGGCTGCCATGGGCAATCAATAAACAGGATCGACTACGGGTGGTTTGATGGTCCGTGCACGCCCGTGTCCCGCAGCAGAAACAGCTAACCTGCAGCAAGTAAAGACGTTATCTTATCCATTAACTAGTTAACCTAAGTACTTACCATAGCAGCAAAGGGTGGTTTTAAGAAACGGTTATTAGATGTAAAAATTATTTTATATTTGAAAATTATTTTTTAGTAAATAATTATTATTAGTTAAAAAGTATTTATTTATTTAATTTATATAAAAAAATATAAATATTAAATATAATGTTTATATTAATAATTATTTATATTTAAGTAATGTATTTTAAAATTTTAAAAATTAAATAATAATAATGCATATTATAATTATTTAAGGATTTAAATAAATAATATATTTTATAAATATTTAATATTTTAAATTTATTTTTTTATTATTGTTTATATATTTATTTAAGTATTTAACTTTTTATTATTATTTATATGTTTTGTTTAAACCTTTATTATTATTTATACGTTTTATTTAAACTTTTACTATAATTAATAAAAATTTTAATTATAAATAATTATTTATTAAATATGTATAAAAGTTATAAAATATTTTTATAAATATATTATTTGGTATATTATTAAATATGTTAAGTTTTAATAAAATATAATTAAAATTATTATAATTAATATTATGGTTAAAGTTTTAATTAATATTATTAATTAAGTTTATTATAAATTTGGTTAATTTAAATATAATATATTTTAAAAACGCAAATTTTATTTTAATATTTAAATAGTTATGGCTTTTATAATTAAAATATAATTAAAATTTTTTGGTAGGTTATTTATTTTTTTTAAAAAAATTATTATTATTTAATAAATAATTATTAGCGTTATAAATAAAGTTAAAATTATTATTATTATAATTATTGTTATATTTTTATTTTAATTATTTTATATGTAATAAGTAAATTAATTTATTATATTTGTAAATAAGGTAATTATTTATATTTTATTTTATTTATCTAATGTATAATAAGTAAATTATTTTGGAATAATTGTTAACATTATTTTATTTTATTTAATTATGGTTTTATTTTTACCTGGTAAAAAATTGGCAAATATTAATTGTTTTAATAAATAGTTGGGTAAAGTTAATTTAAATAAATGTTTTTTTTTTATATTTTTTTATTTTATTATTAAATATAATAAGTTTATAAATAATATATTTTATTTTATTATTGGCGTATTTAGTAACGGTATTAGCGAATATTATAATAATGTTATTAATAAATATAATTTAAGTAAATTAAATAAAAAAAAATTTTATAAAAGTATAAAAAAATAATAAATAATATTAGTTTTAGTATAAAGTAATAACTTTTATATTATTATTATTAGTTTTTTTAAAAAAGTTAAAGATATGTATAATTAAATAGTATTAATTTTTTTATTTTAAGTTAATTTTTAAAAATAAAATAATTTTATTTTAGTTATAATAAAAATAAAAATTATTATAAAATTATATTTTATTTAATAAATAAATTTTTATATTTTATATTTATTTATAATTAAAATAAATATGTATATTATTTATTTATAGTTAATTATTAATAAATTTAAATATAATATATATATTTTAAATAAAGTTATATATTTTGGTAATATAATAAAACTTTTTATATAGGTTAAATATAATAAAAACGTTAACGTTAATAAAGGAAGTTTATTAATTTTTTAAAAAAATTTATGGTTTTAATAATTTATTAAAAATAAGAAATATTTAATTAATAAATTTAAAAACGATTAAATATAAAGAATTTATTAATAGTTAATAATAAAAACGATAAAAAAGAAATTGGAAATTAATTTTATTTATATTTAAATATGTGGAAATAATAATGTTTTAGCGATATAATATTATTTATAATTTTTAACCGGGAATTATTTATTTTAAAAAATTTAATAAAATATAAATTAATAAAGTTAAATTTATATTTTTTTATTAAGTTTTATATATTTTTATAAAATAAATAATAAACGTAATATAATAAAATATATTATAAACTATTTAAATTAGTTATATTAAAAAATAAAAATAATAATAATAAAATATAGTTTAGGTAATAAATTTTTACCATTTTTTTTAATTATTAATAGTTTTTTTTAATAAAAAAGGTTATAAAATTAATAATTAATTTTAATTTTATATTAATTATAATAAATTAATAAAATATATTATATATATATATTTTTAAAATATTATAAATATAT